CATCCTGCCACTTTCTGTTGAAGTCCTGTTGAAATATTTACGTTGCGATAAGGACGTTTATTCAGTGCCAGTCCCGCCAGCAAAAATTTGTTAATGAAAAATGGCAAACAATTTCGCTTCTTGGCCTGTCTGCCATAGCCACCGAAAACATGGCGAAAAACAAAGGGACAGGAGACAAGACTTTTCATTAAAATTGCACAGGCGTAGAAGGGGGTGAGAAGAGGGGCTTTTGGGGGGGTGAAGGTGGTTCAAGGATTATTTATGGGAGCCTGGCGGAAGCTGTCGGCGCAGCTGCCTTTCACTGGCTGCAAATGGCATTGCAATAAAACGAAATTAAATTGCTATTTTGCATACATATTATGTGTGCCCGAATGTCCTGGACACGCACACACACACACGGTCTCAAATTTTCATAGTTGTCTGGCTGGCGAGCAATAACCGAATAACATCCTGAATCCTTTGACAACATCTGGCCTTCCAAATAGTTTTTAACCCCTGCCCTCATCGAAACCACCGCTCCAACCCTTTGTAATTGCTCGACGCGTTTATTAAAATGCATAAATTAATAGAATTATTTTGGGGCGAAGACACCTTTTTATGGCCGTCATTTCGAGCATGTGTGGAATCACTTCGGAAAACCAGTTTAGTACCACATCATTTGGCGATGGCTCAGGGCCAAACAATTACGAATGACGAAGTTAAGATCCTCGCCAAATGCACCACAAATGACCGCAATTAGCCACCCTTCTCCATATTCTTCATAGAATTTTACACGGAGAAAAATGTATGGTAAATGGTAAAAGTGAGGCACAATTTGATCATTCTTTCTTTATAAAAATTTCAATAGGAAGTTACTAAACTGGTATACCATCATATTCTTGTATTTAATAAGTTTAAAGACTTACCCTTTTTTATATTAATGTATCTGGCGGATGCCTTGCATACCCTGTTTTTCCTTCGTGTATCTTGCGGACATAACGAAAATCATTGGGGCAGCATCCATCCGCAAATCAGGGCAATTAATATTAAGTGGATTATTATTTAATGACCGCTGCACGCACTCGGAGACACTGAAGAGCCACTCGGAGCAACCCAGCCACAATCCAAAACCAACCGCAACCACATGAACTTCAATCCCATTTCGTCCTAACTGCTATGATTCCGAATGGGGTTTCCCTTATGGCTGTCATATTCTAATTACATAAGAGCACGCAGTTATTACACGGATTCGCCTAATGCCGCAGATACGCTTGCTGCGATTTGATGACCCCTGACCCCAGCACACCGAGTAGTTATAGCAGCATTAAAATGGCAAATTGACGTTCATTTCACGTGCTAGTGGACCGTATCCATACTCCGGATGTGCGGCGATATGAGCACAGTCCTCATTGAATGGGCGTCGCTAATTGATAAATTGCCCCGATGCGTGGCTGGGATCCATAGTCACATAGTCACATAATAGCTACTCAAATGCTGTAGACATTGCCTAGAGAAAACCACTTTCAAAAGCGATTTAAGATATATATTCTAAACATAGTTCACACGTTAATTCAGCAGCTGTTTTAAGACCTTACGGAATATCCCAAGAATTGATAGAACAAGCCTACTCATGACCATCGTTTGGATAAACCCTCCATGTGGCCTATAGAAAGTTAACAATTATATATAGGGTATGCCCCGTTATTGGCCTTCTACTCATTTACTTACACAATAATTGTAGGCCAAGGAAATGGGGGAGCAAAGGAGGAGCAATTTGCGATGCAAATTCAGGGGCCAATCCGATCCGAGATTGCGTCGTCTTACGCAACAGTACGACATCCACGTCATCGTGGAGCTCCCGACTTAGTCAGCAGGCGGCCAAGATGGCGCCCGCACACCCATTCCGCCGGAACTTCCGCGGATCGACCAGCAAAGCCGTGTGCACCAGGCGGCGATAAGGCGACGGAGAGAATATGTATCTCGTGGAATGGCAAGCAAATCGAACAAACGTGGCCCCTCCTTATCAGCGGAGATGGAGTGTGTCACTGATTAGATAGTCGGACTCCTTTAAGCTCCACAGATCTGAATGATGTCTCCCTCTTCACCAGCGACTCTGGTTGTCAATTGAAAGGAAGTAAGATAGATAGAGTACTATCAAAATAGTCAGATAGATAGATCCCCAATGATCCCTAAGTGATTGCTGTGTCTTTTGGACTGCCTCAATTTATAATATATAAATAATATAATATAATGCCTCAATTTCCCTGAATGGTCAAAAAGATGATTTAAGATATACTTTATACTTTACAACTTGTCTGTATATTATCTGGTAGTTTCAAACCAAAACCACTAAGTTCTGAAACATTACACCATTTCTAATCGCAGAACTGAGTAGTTTTCGCTAAAACTTGGCCATTGCAAGTTCCATTGTTCCAGATGGTATCCAAAGTACACCCGCAATCAGCAGCATTCGGAGATGAAAGGCAAACAGACGCCCCACATTGAGGACCAGATCCATGCCAGAACCCAAACCTTATCAGAGAAGCAAACATTCTGCTGTTTTACTAGTTGATAATTAGTTACTTTGATGTGTTTATTTGTTCAAGCGGTAACGTACAAGCTAAAGATACATTTGCTGGGGCGAACTGGCTAACTTATTTATGATAACATTATCACATCTGGTGTGCTGGTAAATCAAGGTGAATTTCGCGGTGTAAATCATTCACTTGTGGCTGCTTTGATAATGCTGCTGCTGCACTGCGATTTATTGATGAACAAACCAAGGAAACAAATTAATTTATAAGGGAATTATGAGAGCAATTTTGAGGGGACAGTGTAGGAGCGTGTTGGGAGTTGAAGGAGGAGGAGGTGGTCTCCACTTCTTACTGCTTCTGCAGATACTCGTCGAACAGGTAGACGGACAGGGATGGGTCGGGGACCTTCATCAGCTTGGCGAGGTCGTTGGCATAGCCGGACAGCTTGCGCACGCTCTCGGCCTGCTTGCCCAGGAAGTTCTCCTCGAAGTAGTGGGCCAGCTCGGGATCCCTCTCGGCGTCGGCGGCGTGGGTGGCACGGGAGTGCACGTGGGTGGCTCCGGTGGCCAGCTGCTTCTCGGTGTCCAGGGCCAGAGCCAGGGAGTGCAGTTCGTCGACCTCCAGAGTGCCGCGCTTGGTGCTCACAGAGCCGGCAGACTCATGACGGGTGTTGAAGTCCACGATGCCACCGCGACGGGTCACCTGCTTGATCAGGGCAATGCTGTCCTCGAAGGAGCGGTCCGAGAGTCCCTGGTACAGCTTCTGGAAGCCGGGGCGGTTCTTCTGGTAGGAGTTGAAGTGGGTGGCCAGCAGGAGGTAGTCGTACGACTTGGCCAAGTTGGCGTTGATGTAGGACTGAACTTCGGGCTCAATGTGGTCAATGCCAGCGAAACGGGCATTACAAATGGAGTTGCCTGAGGGTAAAGAAGCAAATAATAAACGTTACAATCTGTGAATCGGAGAACATAGTTTTAATGGTTCCTAACTAGATAGTGCTATACTAAATATGACAATAGAATTTCGAATTGGGCTTTTTCATATTATAAATTTGTATCTTTAACATAAAATAGAAATCTGTATTTAAATGGAAGCGCGATTGAAATAACAATACAGGGCGGTTACCAAGTAAGAAAAGAAAAGTTTTCGTTTAACTAAATCTGAGATAGTGCAGAAAATGTCCAACATTTTTCCAAAACATCTAATCTATATTTCACTTACTTTTGCCTGTGAAAAAGCCCGTGAGCGCTTGTTTTTATTATTATGTTTTACAAAGATACAAAAAGCAACAACACAGATTAGCCACTCTCTCTTAGAGGCGCTCTCTTTACTCACCCGAGAAGGCCGACGAAGAGCACGCCGTGATTACGGTGTTCTGGCAATATTCATTATCAACGGCCAGGGCAAGGGAGCCGAGGCACGCGAAGAGCGCGAGTGCAACCAAAAATTTCATGATGTCTGTTTACTGTAAATTAAAATCAAAATCGAGAGCGAAAACAAAGGAAATTAGTTTCACAACAATTGACAATTGGAAAACAGACACTTTTGTTTTCGCTTCGTGCTGTTTTTTCCGTTTTGCGTCGTAGCGTTTCTTGAATTTTCTCTGCTCTTTTTTCACACAAACCCACCACCAATGGAATGTTTTGGTTTTTCAATGTTTGTGGTGGTCGGTCTAAAAACACAGTTTCCAGAAAATTCTTTTTTCCTTTGCTTAGCCAAACACTCACTAAGTAGTTGGTTGGTAATTTGTAAACTCACTTTAAGTGCCTGTGCTTTTATTTAAAATTCAATCGCTTTGTGTGCTGCTTGGTGGAACTCTGAAAATCAACTGCTGTTTATAGCGTCGCGTACGTCTCTTTCTATGCGATCGATAAGAGTGTGTGTGTGTGGGGTTTTGGAGAGCGTGCATAGGCATGTTTTGTTTTGCGCTCAGTGCGGGGATTTCGGTGTCATTCAAACATGGCCGCTTGCAGTGTTGTTGTTGTTGCTGCCTGCTGGAAGGTGACTCACGGCAGGGTTGTCAGCGTGTGCAAAAGATGGACGCTGCACTTTGGATTTCAAGTGGTTTCCTGAAAGTTTTATCAGCTAACGATAAAGATTTTAAATAAACTGCAGATAAACAAGCTACATTCTATGATAATGTTTCTATATGCGAAACAATGACAATTCACAGCAGGATGTGAGTCAAAAGGCTTACATGTATCGAGTTTCGGACTGCTGCTCTTTTCTTTTTTTTCAATAAATAGTATTGAAATGTAGGGTTTCCCCAATCAACAGACCAATTATGTAATTGTAAGTTTTCCCAGCTTGTATGCCCCTTATCAAGTGTCACTCCTGGAGCTCTGCAATCGACACGTAAAAAAGAGCCGTCGCCATATTAAGCAGTTATCAAAGTGGCTGATTGATCCCCCCTCGAACGTGCAAATCAACTTGACTAAATGTGAATTAAATTGTCAACGAAAATTAAACCGCCTGGCAACCCATGACGTGTTGCTCTCCAGGGCCAAAACAAAAACAAAGAACAGCTGACGCGGAGCGCAAAAGAGCGACCATATTGCATTTGGTGTATTGCATTTACACAGAAGTGGAATTATCTGACTAGGAAACCCGACATTATAAAAAGTATGTCCATATTGAGGACGTGTGTATCATATTAAGTGCGTCTATCATCGGGAATATTCAATTATCAGCCATTTAAACGGTTAACAAAGAACGGGCGACATGTTGGAAACGAAAAGATAACAGTGCACACTCTCCCACTTACTCACACTCACACCAGCAAAAACCGAGAGCGCGCGCGCTTAAAAGTGTTTTGTGCGCCGTTCGGAGCGACAGTTCGCTTTCGAGTTCGCTAAAACACAACGCAGAAAGGCATTAGCTCCACTGAAAAATCAGATTAAAGCTGTCAGCAGAAGGTACTGGAAAAGCATTCGAGAAGTCGAAAATAATCCCAATCAAGCCCATCAAATTGAAGCAGGCGACGCCTTCTGCGCCAGTGTGTGTAAAGGCAGCTAGATTTTCAATTTCAACGACGAGGGAGGCCCTATTTAACATTGTAGCCCAACTCGAGTCGCCTCATTCTCATTTGTGCATTTCAAGCAAATCAAACTAACAGTGACATACAAATTTTGGTTCTGTGATTTTGTGTAAAGACTTCGTTTGACGATCAAAGATGGTGAAATTAATCGCTAGCCTGTTCCTGTTGGCCGTGGTGGCCCAGGCCTATGGAGACTTCAAGTGTAAGTACTATTGTTAAGTTTTGTTCAGCTGAATTTCAAACAAAACAAAGGCAGGTCAGCGGAAAAAAAAAACAATAAATTTCGACGCAATAAGCAAAGAGAAGAAAAACATTTGTAGTGCGTTGAAAAGAGCATGCGCCGTTTCTCTTCCATTCTCTTTCACTCTCTTTCTGTACCGAAGTGAAGTTACCAAACCAGTTGACTTTAAAGTTATTGATACTTCCGTTGTGCTTTGGTGAAATGATAACCAGTATTTATACGCAAATTTCCATAATTAAATAATGCGAATTTCGCTTTCATTTCCATGAATAATGCGGCAAAAATTAGCTTCGACTTTTTTGTTGTTACATTTCAAGGCGCTCTTTGCACACGGCTTGTGCTGTGCGAGTGAGCCAGCATGGTCCACCATGCTTTTTGCACACGGCACTACACCAAAACAAATGCCGTTACTATGGCGGCGAGAGCTGCGCACGTTACCAATGCAGTTACAAAAAAAAAAGAGAGCGGAAGAGTGAGCCATTGCAGTTTTGCACACGGTTTTGTATTTGCCCCAGAACATCGGCATTCCAAGCGCAATTTAAAGGCTTTTGCAATTACGCCCTCTTAAATGCAGTAACCCACAACCACTCCCCCTCCCCCTTAGCCAAGCAAGAAAGCAAGAGTTTCGTGAGAGAACTGCGGAAAGAGCGAGAAGCGCAGCAGCTTAAAGAAAAACAAAACCCAAGCCATGAAGGTCAAGACCAAGAGTGCAAAGGTTTCTATAACTTGAAATATATCAGAACATAGTTTTGGTTACCAAAAATAGTTGAATCCGTCTGGAACCAGCCATATGCTCCTATCGTGTTCCCACGACTAATCCAAACCTTTTCCCATTGCAGGCTCCCTGGCTGTTCCTGAGATTACCAAGGATTGGGTGGACATGAAGGATGCCTGCATAAAGGGCATGCGCCACCAGATCCAGGAGGAGATCAACGCCTCCTACCAGTACCTGGCCATGGGCGCCTACTTCTCCCGCGACACCGTCAACCGCCCCGGCTTCGCCGAGCACTTCTTCAAGGCCGCCAAGGAGGAGCGTGAGCACGGTTCCAAGCTGGTGGAGTACCTGTCCATGCGCGGTCAGTTGACCGAGGGCGTCAGCGATCTGATCAATGTGCCGGTAAGTCCATGACTCCCCTAGGAAAGCCACGAAAACCTAATACTGGTGAATCCCCCGCAGACTGTGGCCAAGCAGGAGTGGACCGATGGCGCCGCCGCCCTGTCCGACGCCCTCGACCTGGAGATCAAGGTGACCAAGTCCATCCGCAAGCTGATCCAGACCTGCGAGGGCAAGCCATACAACCACTACCACCTGGTGGACTACCTGACCGGTGTCTATCTGGAGGAGCAGCTCCACGGACAGCGCGAGCTCGCCGGCAAGCTGACCACTCTGAAGAAGATGATGGACACCAACGGCGAACTGGGCGAGTTCCTGTTCGACAAGACCCTGTAAGGAGGTGGAGATAGAGAGAAGGCGCATCACCCAGTCACGCATCAAAATTATCAGCCAGTCGAGTTATCTGTTATCTGTTAGCCCAGAGAGCCTTCCCGAGGGTCCGCTATTAAGTCACCATCAGCCAAGTCGACGACTGGCCAATAAATTATCCGTTCGACTGCGATCCTCAAACCAGCAGAGCAAAATTCCACGTCTGTTCTTTCTTATCAACCACTCGTGATTGTGATTGTGATTTCCGTACACCTCGGGAGGGGGCTCCGCATTATGCAATCGCCGAGATTTCGCCTAGGATAAGTGGAATCGCTCATTCGCATGGGAAGACACCCAGCACAACCCATTCAATACATCCTATATCTTTATATTTTTCTGTCAATTAGCCGAACAAGTTCTTAAATAAAAACCAATATATATGTAACGAAAACCCCATATGTGTTTGATTACTAGGGACTTTTTTCAGATGGAAAACGGGGATGATTTCATTCTTATTGCGACTTTGTGACGGGGATTTCGCAAGTAAAGCAACAAAATAATAAATGTGTCATATTATTGCAGATAAATTGCTATATCTCGGTAAAGAGAGGTCCAATTGTGGAGTGTCATACCTCGTTGAACTCGTAAAAATATTCCTGAACTACGGGCAATTCAATTTAAAAACTTTTTGGTTGGTCGATTTTTTCGATTTTTTTGTGATGGTACCCCTTACAAAAAATGCGAAATTTGGTCGAAAAATTATTAATCCGAAATCCAAGAAATTGGGATATGGTTCGATAGCTGGGGTGCTCAGCTGACTAAAACATTGAGTTTTTCAGCCCTGTGACTTATTTTGGCCAACTTACAACTAAAAAACTGCCAAAAATGTGTATTTTTTTCAACATTTCAGACTATGATGTTTTATGTTTTTGGGAATTGCTAGGTACTGCGTTTTTTGGTAAAATCACAATGCAGCAAGACTTTATTTCCAGTCTCAGCTGCTTCAGTAAGCCTATCAGATTACAGAGGTCCTTGGAGAGTTGAGTAAAGTGGGGATCATGCGATACGCCTTTCAATTGATACACTTAATGCTTAGCTCTACTTTCGCTAATTTCAGCTGTCTTTCCAGCGTCAATTTGCCAAGCAGATAATATTGCAATCCCTCTGTTAGCCGATTAACCCTTTATTGTCCCACGACAATGCACTTGATGAGCCATATCTGGGATCACGTCTCGCCTGTCCATCGCCCATCGTCCATCGTCCACCGTCCATCAGTGGGCAGTGTCTAATGGTTGTACGCATCGCATATTCCGTTTGATAAATGTCGGCATCTTCGACTCGAGTCCCTTTATTGACCCTTTCATGTAGTCACTCCCGCACTCTTAACCCCTTCACCCTTTACCAGGCTAATCTGGTTGGAAAACACAAAAGCCAACCATAAAGAGCAAGGAAAGCGAGACGTAGGCTGCACTGTAAGAAATGGAAAGAAATACTACATATCATAGGTACCGACCAAATGCCTAGTCAATGTACAAATATTTGTATAAAAGTTTAGTTTACATTTTTGTTTCAGTGCGCGACTTGCAGATGGCCAGGAGCAAGTGCATGGAATAATTCATAAGTCACTTGTAAAAATGTCCACAACCACAGCGGCCGTATCCACCCCCTGCCCAGGGGCTAATGTGTGCTCGATTCACCCCTTCGACGTCCATGTGCATGACCATGTTCAGGTCCATGTCGATTCGAGTGATTGACAGGACATGCCATGCATTGAATTATGATAAATTGTGGCAACTGTCAAAAGGCTGAGCTCGGGTTTCCTCCATCTTTGGCCAGATTTTCCGTTTTCCGACGCGTGACCAGAGTGAATGGGTTAGTGCGTGGCATTTTAAACAATTTCATAAGCTAATATTTGAGCAGATGTCCTTGTTCGTTGCGGATTTAAAATTGCATCAATCCTCACGACAATGGGCCGCAAATTTTTCGATAAGCGCCGCAAATATTTAAGCGCAATTCGTTCGATTGACCAAAATTAAGGGGCGGAGTTTTTTTTTCGGGTGGTGTGTCCGGCATACAAATGGCCCATGACATTTGGACCCACTATCAATCTTGGCCAAAGGAGGCACACTTTCGACCAATTTGCCAATCATGTTTATTGCTTTCTTGTAAGCAAGTCAGTACCCTGCATATTATCAAAATATACATTTACAGATTCATCTGGCAAGTTGTTGAATGAAATATGAAGTATTTATACACAAAACCGCTTATATCTTTGCAAATGTCCTTTGACAACGGGGTATGTTGCAGTCGCATCGGTTGACTTTGCAGCTTTTTTTCCATATTTTTTAGCAGCAGCGATAGCCAGCCAATTCGGCAGTGAAATATTCTGGGCAGAGACGTGCGAGTGATTCATCCTGCGCATATCCTTCAGATAAAAGTGCCTGCACGCTTATCGCGCTGACATTTGTCCTGCTCCTCGTTCGCTGACAAATTTGCAACGCCGGCCAGAACAATAGGCATGAAATGGAAATGGAAATGGAAATCGGGAAGTGAGTCCTGTGCGCTGAAGGATCCTGCAACAAACCGAACCTAAGCGTACCGAACCGAACCGAACCGGTTCTGACTTCAAGTGGCAGCAGCCAGCGCCGCAGGACATCCGCCGCCTGCCAGAGGGATATGATTTATGTCCGGATAGTTCCTTTGTCTTTCGCTCATCTGAACTGCACTGCGCTCACTTCGATTGCTTTCCACTTTCTCCGCTTGTTTGCTGTTCCCATCATAAATCTCTGGGCGCCCATTTAGGAGTGACAGCCATGGCCCCCGGGAAATCCTTTCAAAACCGGTTGAGAGAGTCAAGCACGAGGATTTTGGTAAAAAATTTCATGTGTTTACTATATTCTATAGTTCATAGCTCATATCATAAATTTAAACATTTAAATTTCGATTGCGAACTGATAAAAGGGAAGCAACTTTCTTTAAAAGTATCAAGTATTGCAAACATCCAGGCTTGTTCTTGTTTATTGCAATCTCCAGTCAATTTGCAATCACTCAATCAGTTTGTTTGGATAACTCTCTGGCCATTAAGCAAACAGCAAACCGTGCGAGCGTTTCCTTGAGGTCCTTGCACTTTCTTGGCTCCAGCAAACTCAAACATGGTCCACCTTCACTTTTCCACACTCTCGCTCTCGATAAAGTTGTAGATACGTCGCTATAGGAGCCACACTTCACTGGAGGCTGCAGCACGCAAATGATTAAAATTCAACAAACATCGGTCAGGAGAGTTCTCGAGGAGCATTCTGGCAAGGACCCAGCTCCAGCACCGCCCGCACAGCGTTATTGAAATGTCTTAGCAGCTGTCCAAACATCCTGCCTCGCAGAATCCTTGCGGGGCAGCAAAGGATTCTGCCGATTTAGCATATTGACTCCTTGCCAAGGAGCGAACTTATACAAGATTTATGCGCCCGACGCACGCCAGGCGACAGTCGAGATAAAAGGATTCGTATAACTCACGCCCAGCCAAAGGACAACCAGGATAAGAGCACTGAGAAAAAAGCATGGGGGTTCCTTTAATGAACGTGTTCTTACAAAACAAAATACCATTTTTGAAGTCCTTTAAGGGAAAGATGGCTTGAAAGTGGCTACATATGATAGGTAACTAATGCTAACTATGCCCATGATGATTCGATTTTTTCAGTGTAGGCTGGAGATCTGGAGTTTGGGGAAGGGGAGTGCAATAAATTGGATTTGCATATTAGCACACTACCAGGAAGGCAGGCCCAAGGAAATGTAGGGCCTGCACCCTTCCGTCTGAGGAAGTGGAAATTCCAATGGGAAAGAAGCCGGGTGACCACTGACCTTGTGTCCTGGGGGTGGTGGTGGGCCATTAGGCAGAGCATCTTAAGTACGAAATCTCGCCTAAATTGGGAATAAATCATTAAAAATATGTCCACAAGAGGAGCGCAGGGCAGGGTGGCGGAATCCTTTGAGCTGTTTGCCGAAAGGGTTTGCAACAATTTCCAGAATCTGCGGCATTCACATGTGGGCCGCACTTTCAGGAGGGTTGCGATACGTACATGTAATACCCTTTGATTTATAAAGATAACGACGCAGTGTCGTGTTTAATTTGCAGCCCACCTCCACCCACCCAGCTATTTGGCATTCATAAATCCTCAAATGGTCAGACGGAGTATGACTTATGTGAACTTGGCCGCAAAGTTTGGTAATTATGCATGGCCCAGACATATTACTTTCGCCGTACTTCGCTCCTCTTTGTCTCAGTCGGGCATCTTCGAACGAGTGGGGTTGACATTTTTTAACTGACCACTTTCATTGGCACAAGGGAACTGCCAAAGTTTTTGGGCCACAAACTTTGGCTTGACATGGCTGAGATAAAGATTAGGTCCAGTGCCTTTCACTGAGAAAGAAACTTGGCAGGCCAAACCCTTCAAGATATTTAAAAAATGTAGTTATAACATAGTTTTTTCCCTAATTACAGTTTGGGTTTGTCTACATGTCGGTTTATTTCAGGAAGGTTTTGTTTATTTAAGTAAATAACAACTTTCTGGCAGTGCTGCAGCTTTGGCCATCGTCTGTAGTGTTTATTGTCGGTCCCTTTGGCTTTTTACCCCCGAACAGTTCAATGGCCACAAGTATCAACTATGGATTTCCCCAGAGGGTCATTCCGTGGCGAACTTATGCACCCAGGTTGGCATCGTGGGATGCCAAGGTTGGGTTCGCCATCGGCAACTGCATGGAGGATCCTTCGCCGGGGAGGCCAGTCGAATAAAAAGCTGATTTGCATGCTCCAAGCCGGAGCATTAAAACTAAAGAGCAGCATCAGCAGCAGCACATAAAAAGGACCTGCAACGTGTGAGGTTAAATAGATTTGGCGCCAGGACATGGCTGGGGAAATATGCCCCACCATCGCCTGCGCAGTTATGCCGCAGACATGGCTCGCTTTTGATTTAAGCGCATTGTTTGCGTTAAATATTTGCCATGCCGGCCACGTTACCAGCCCCTCCTGGCCAGACCCACCTCCACCAAAGCCAGCCACAGCTGCAGCCAAGCGCTCCGGGCCGAAAGGCAGTGGTCTGAACCTGAACTCCCATTGCCCCGCCTCCGAAAGTTGGCGTGACATGGACCACCAGACTGGAGAAGGAAACGTTTCTGCACTGGCAGAATTTCCCCCGGCAAACAGCACTCTGCAGTAGCAACATCCAGTTGAGTTATCCGCCATGGAGGACCTTTTCTTTGGGCTTTGCATCCCTCAGTGTAGCCTCCCTGCTAATCGGACGAAGGAGCGCCCACCCAAGGACCAAAACGCTCATCTGCGGGCTAAGAAGCGAGCAATCCTCGCCTCGTGTTTGATTTCCGCTTTCAGCTCCTTGACACACACAGACACACATCCTGGGGGCGAAGGAGTCCTGCCAGTCCGCCCACGCGGCCAAACAA